GGGAAAAAGGGAATGGTTATTCAATCCGTTGGCACAGACAGAACACGTAAAGGCGGGACCCTGCCGCCGCCATCGAGAGCTCCGCCACCAACTGAAACGTGAGCTGCCGCGGTGGCTAGGCCCGCGCCGCGCGGGTAACGACCCTGCTGAGAGCGCTCACGCATCCCACGGGAACTCTGGAGCAACCCGGCACGTTAATAATTTGGACGTCATCCCAGCTCCCGCCAATGCAAACCCACCACCCGTCTCAACGGCCAAGGCCTTCTGCGGGAAACCACGCCCCCTAGTCCCAAACCCCGCCCTTATCTACCCTGCCGCTTCGAAAAGCGCTGCGCTTCAGTTGGCAGGGAGGTTGGAAGGAGAGGGGGGGAGAACCAAAGGGGTTCATTTGCTTGGGGAACAACCCGGCCACGGTCCGTCACAGTGAGGTTGGGCACAACCAGTCTACCTGGTCCGACCGCGCCCCGAAGAGGCTTCCCAGCAGCTCATCCCCACCTGAAGAGCCCCGTTAGGCACAAACCCACCCGCCCGCGCCGCCGAAGACCGGTAACGGGGAACACTTACCTGGAGTCGAAGCAGAAACCCGTTCCGCGTTCATGCAGGAGAAGACTTGGCGGATCAGGAGCAGAAGGTACGGTGTTGTCGTCATCCTGTGAAAAACCAGAGGGAGTGTTTTCAGTGACAGCCCCCAGAAACGGCCACTTTTTTCCCCTCTTCCATAGGCGTTTTCGGCACTGATCGAGAGCCATGGGTGGAATTTACCTTTCGGTTCTGTGACTGCTACGGCGCGCGGCGTCAGCATAGGAGAGGGAGAGGCGGTTCATGGGCACGGGAAGCCAAAGCCCGGCTGCCTCATGACCCGCTGCCCGTGCCGGAACCGCCGGAATGCTGCTGCTAACAGGAGCTCCGGAGACATGAGTCACCCCGCTGTTAACGCCTGGGGGCTACGGCGGGACTGGGAAACCCGTGTTACACCTGGAGTCAGCTCTGCCCGGGGAGAGGAGTCAGCCAACCTCAGGTCTCCCCCAAGCACTCTGCTCTCCCAGGCGGCACCTGGATACCGGCTGCTCCTTCTGCCTCTATCCTTCACAGAGAGAGTAATGGGCTGCCAGGGCCAGAGCAGGCCGATAAAGGATAGTGGGTTTTTTTGCTAGAAGAAAGGCCATTTAGGCTTCATCTCACAAAATATCCTGACCTGGTTGTCAGTTGCCAAAAGTTACCCTCTCCATCCCCCACAAACATACTGTGACTAACAGCATTGTTCAAGAGTCTCAGGATAGTTATTCTGGGCTTCCTGCCAACTGTACTCAGGACTACATTTCTGAAACTCACACTTTGCTTTTAAAGAGAGATGTATGTTTTGTTTATGGATCGCTCCCTTACATGCCTGCTTCTAGAAATTACTTGCTCCAAACGACTACCTCTTGGTAGTCACGGGAGCGTGAGCAAACAGAAAATCAGTGCTGAGGAGATGACAGCAGGAGCTCGGGGCAAGTCAACCGTTCCACAGTCACCCCGGTGTGCATGCTCGTCCAGCACGATTAACACAGGACCCCTTATCCCTCTCAGACTGGCCGAAGAGGTCCAAAAGCCAACGCTATGAAGCAATCCAGAAAGTCTTTGCGACACAGCGTGTTTTCACCTCGACCGAACACATGCCCCTTCCCAAGAGAGACGGTTTCGGGAGAAGCAGAATTGGAATGCAAAAGCAACATTAAACAGAAGTTCTGATGCTTTTACAGGTGTATCCTTACTCCGTCTGCAACCAGGAGTACCTGAAGACAGTAAAGGCAGCCGAAGTTTCAGTATGGCAGGAGTGTCACTGTCACGCTGCTACTCAAGGTTAACAGCCAGTGACAGACACGTCTTCCCTGAGAAGCAGCAAGGGAAGACTGCTGCGCCCGTCGTAAAAGCCAACGGCATTCTCCTTCGGAACGTGGACACTAAGTTCAGGTCCCATTAGAAGCAAACACCTCAGAAAAAGGATCATCTTAATCTTGAGCGAGAGAATTTCGTAGCTTGCCAGTAGGAAAGCCAGTAGGATGGCTTTGTACAGGCATACACCGACGGCAGCCGTGCTCCACAGGACTGAAGATCAAATCCTTGGTTGCAGGTACAGGGGCATCCCCAGGAAAGTAATTCATGCGCAGCTTTAGCATGAAAATAATCCTCCTAAAGTGAGCTTAGGGCGCCTGTCTCTCCTTCTATGGACGGGAACGGTACACACACCCACCCTGTACTACAAGGCTACGCAGCCTGTACAATCCTGCCTCTCCAGTCCAAACATGCTCTAAGGAGCCTACGGAGCTTCTGACCATGGACTGAGAAAGAGGCAGTGAGCAAACAGAGAGCAAGCTGGCACCTTCTTCCCCACTGCCAACCAAAGAGATAGTTACTCCCTGTGCCACACCAATAGTTATTAGAGTGAGAGACTCCCACTTCCTCCTTGGGACCGGCAGAAAGGCCAACCACGGCTCTTTCACCGAGTCCCTACAACCATAGTATTTTAAACACCCCAACAAGACTACCAATCCTTTTCTTCCAGGAGTGAATCCTCCTCCAGCAAAAAGCTCTACATCTCACTGGCTTAAAAACGCACAGAATCACATCTGAAGCAGCTTATGTTCAAAACCCATACAACCAGTGGTAATCTCTTCGTACTTCTCATCTGGTATCTGCCGTTTCTTCTGCACGCACGGCAGGCTCTCCTTCATCAGGAGTGACCTACGTCCTGTTCCCTGGTTATTTCTTCAGCTGCCGCATGAGACCTGCCTGGCCTTCGGCGTACTACTACGTCTTTCTAGAGAGATTTCTGCAGCTGCTCACTTCCATGAGCTCACACGTCTGTACACTACACACACAGTCTGTTTCGGGAGGGGCAAGCAACTGCTTCCCACTGGAAAGTAGAAAAAGTCAGGATATAATTATTTGATTTAAAAGCACCTTTTCTCAAGCTGAACGTCGCTTAAGCCTGTTCCGTTCCATCTCACTACAAAAATCCAGGCTGTGTCAGCAAATGAGCACAAGACTCCAGCGCTGTTTCTCTCGGGTTTGCAAGAGGGCAAAGCACACAGATCAGGGAGAACACCCCGCTAATTAAACAGAAGCAGACGACTGGGGAAGAGACGAGCGTGTCACATGCAGTATCTACGTCGAGAATGATCACATTAAATATGCAAAACGTGAAGTAAAGGTGGGCGACAGCGTTAAGCTCACATTCCAGATCTCCAGCAGGCTGCAAACGTTCTGACAGTTCCCCTAATTATTCCCGGTAATGGACATCGGGGGCAAAAGGCAGGAGGGAGAAATACAGTTTTCTCCATTACGGGTGCTGAGCACCAGGGCTAAAATCATGCCTGTCTGAACAGCGCTCAGCTCCTGCAAAGGTTAATAGCAATTAAATGTGGCAAACTAGACTAAATGAGAAACAGGTCATGATACCACTGTACTTGCAAAGAGCACCACGCTCTGCAGAAAGGCACTGCTTGTTTAAGATTTTTGAAGGCACAAGAGTACCTCGAAGAAGAAAGAGTAAAAAGTCTGTTCCTGTTCAAATGAGGACACAGTCCAGTTTGTGACAGAAGCCAATTTACTAGAACCATTTTTTCCTACCAGAACGTGTAAGTACTGCATTAAAAATGAAAGCTAACCTGTTTCCCCTGAAAACAAAGCCCTAAAAAAGAAATTGGTGGGCATCTGTCACTTCCCATTTCATCAGCTCTAGGTAACAGTCAGCTAGCTCTTCCAAATTATACGTCAAACAGCCAAAAATCCTCACTGAAAATGGGCATTAGTAAATGCAGATTTGCAAAAGACAGACAAAAGATTAACACCGCAGAATGAAGTATCTGGTGCGATACGGATTTTCTTTCAGCATTTGACTGAAAACACTCATATCAGAATCCTGTCAGTTTACCTGTTCCGTCACAACTCAGTTCCTACACACAAATGAGGAGTAAGACGTGGCTACACTTGGAGGCCCCATTCTACCACACTGGAGAGAATCATCAGAATGAGTTGAGATTACCTGGATTTTTCTACTTCAGTATACAAAAAGGTTACAGAGCTGCTGTCCTAACACCCCAGGAAGCTGTCAGCAACTCAGGAGACCGGGGAACAAGTATGTCATCATCATCATCAACTGATGTGCAGAGTTTGCTCCTTCAGAGCAAGCAAAACTCACCTAAACACTGTGCAGGGAAAAGGCAAATCAATTCCGGATTTACGTGACAAGTCGGGCTTTCCAGATAATGAAAATCCATGTGCAAATCCCGATTACTCGTCAGTAAGCATAATCAAGGAAGAAAAAACAGAAAAGGTGACGTACATTGCTATCCTCAGGATCTTCTAAACCGTCAGGCCGACTGAGATTGCGTGAAGGCTGACTACACACTACATCATCTTCCAGCTCCCAGAAGGAAGTCCTGACAGGGGGTCTTTGGATCTCATCAGGGTTAAAAGCGCCATCTGCTCCATCTGAAAAGCAATTAAACAGAGCATCTTTGTTCACCAGAGTCTGTATTCTGAGATTACAGATGCGCTCCCTCATGTTTAAAAATCCAGAGACTTAAACACATTTTGAGCTTAGATAATACAAAACAAAAAACACTTTTTTCAAGAAGTACTTCTTTAAAACTGTATCTTGTTGATTCTTACCAGTAAAATAAAGGCACTTTATCACACGCACAACCACCAATAAAGGCTCTGTACACCAGGATAAAGATTATCGGTACTTCACCTGCATTAACTGAGCCATTGCTTTTGAAACCGTGAGAAAGATGATACTCAGGTGGGGGGCTGGAGGGGGTATGGGCAGAACTTACCTCTTCTTTCCTGAATCGCATAAGGATTTCCATACTGCAACACTGGTACTCTGCTTGGCACTGCAGGAACCGATCTGTTTTCCTCCGAGTACGGGTTGCGAAAATGTGATGCCTGTTGTGAAATCTGTCCTTCCATCATCCTTCCCGCTTGATTTCCTGGTGCCCTGCCAAGCTCCTAAATAACACGTTTAAAATGTGATTGACCTAAGGAGTCCTAGCAAAGTTTGAAATTTTTATTAAGTATTCAAATTTGGTTCTATAAACACAGTCGCTAACCTTCCCACTGTCTTTTCATCTTGCTCTAGTGCCACATATACCATACCTAAAACATACCAAAAATAGCCAATGAAAAAAGAAAATACAAAGAAGATATTTTAAAGAATGTTGTTTTTCTCTTTTTGGCATCAGTTAACTCAAATTACATTAACACACCTGCCACTTTTTTCAAGAAATAATCTGCACCCTTAATAAAATGAAGAAAAATCAGTTCAATGGGCAAAGACTGGGCGGATTAATAAAAACAACTAAATACAATGTGCAGTGAGAAAGGTTTTGAAAAGTTACAATGAGAAATAAAATAATTGGGTTTTTCATATCATACCGTATCATCCAAGAATGCACCATTTTAGTATGTGAAATATGTATCACAGAATCATAGAATGGTTTGGGTTGGAAAGGACCTTAAAGACCATCTAGTTCCAACCCCCCTGCCGTGGGCAGGGACACCTTCCATGAGACCAGGTTGCTCAAAGCCTCATCCAGCCTGGCCTTGAACACTTCCAGGGATGGGGCATCCACAGCTTCTCTGGGCAACCTGTGCCAGTGCCTCACCACCCTCTCTGGGAAAATCTTTTTCCTTATATCCAATCTAACCCTCCCCACTTTCAATTTAAACCCATTATCCCTTGTCCTGTCACTACAGGCCCTTGTAAAAAGGCCCCCCCAGCTTCCCTGTAGGCCCCTTCAGGTACTGGAAGGTCTCCCCGGAGCCTTCTCTTCTCCAGGCGGAACAAGCCCAACTCTCTCAGCCTGTCCCCACAGCAGAGGTGCTCCAGCCCTCTGGGCATGTTCATGGGCTCCTCTGAACTCACTCCAACCAATCAATATCCTTCTGATGTTGAGGGTATATGTACAAATGTGACACAATTCCCTATGAACTGATGAGTGGCAGGTATTTTAAGGGCTATTAAGTAGATTGCACTGGATCCTTTCTGATATCTACCAGCACGGTATTGACCCACATCAAGTGTAACCTCCCATTCGCTCAGCTGAGCCCAGGGCTGCCACTTCCAGCAGAAAATGAAGAGTGTTAGAACAAACTTCTGCTCAATGTCCTTCCACATGCAAAGACACACAGGGAAAGGAACAGAGAATTTGGAAGCATTCCTGTGTGTTTTCTGCAATATAACTTCCTGAAAGCTACCCCGACTCGCATACAGTCGTGTGTGCGTTAAGCTGGGTACGTTACTGGCCGACGGGTTAGATGCAGCTGTGCTTCAAGACTGGGAGAGGATTGCTCTGTTCAAATGCAGAGATCCTGTCAAACACACTCCCCCAAAACTACACCTACAGAGGCAAAGATCCATCTCTTTTCCTTGTTCTCAGTTCTTTAAAAATCAGTTTTTAAACAGGTGATAAAATATGTTAAACAGGTTGGAATCATTTTGTCCTTGTTCATGATTCTGCTTGATGACCACATTCCACTTGTAAATTATTAGAGGGGTTTTTAAGTTGCTATTGTTATGTCAAAGTATTTCTATTACCATTATACCAAGTAGAGCCAGAAAGTCCCTTCACTCCTAACAGCTCAGTGTTCTGCATGTTTCTCCTTTTTGTGAGCAGAAAGAAGAAAAAGGAACGTTTGGGTTTTTTCAATTAATACACAGTATTATCTACAAGGCTGAAGTGGTTTGTAACGACTGAAGATAGGAGAACACTGTGTATCTGCACCGTAAAGCAGCCTTAACCCAGATGGTACCTTTTTGTTCTTACATTCAACACACACAGACTGTACTCTATTTAAATAAAAAATCACCACCTAAATGTAAATCAGAGGGAGACGGGGGAAGGAAAGAGAGAGAACGGTGAAGTAACGAGACAGGTCAGCATGTGAAGTAGTGGTTTCTCCATCAACAGCACAAAGTCGGCAGCTTCCTAGCGGGCGTGAGGGAAAGGCCAGTTTGCAGGAGCACCCTGAAAGGAATTTTGTCACTGGTGGAAAGGCTTCTCCTGTCGAGCCAGAATGGGCTACAGCAAGTGTGACAATTCTGTGGAAGTGCCAGGCAAGATTTTGAACTTGAGGGACAGCTGGAGGAGACCACATCACAGATCCTTTACATGAACAGGATTTAGGCAGGCACCCGGATAGCAAACGTTTAAAAACGGGTCAGACTGAAGACCATTTGCTCTATCATTCTGGACCATAACTTAGGTATGGGGATGATGCCACCAGCAATCATGCAAAGGCCTCTGAAGAGATATATACACATGTATTAACTCAGCACTAACAGACTGATTGATTCATTCTCTATTGTTGGTAACATCAGACAATTGATTCTAGGAAGGAGAACTGTTACTCAAGTGTTAGTGTTTCCTATTAATATTAACAAATAGAAATTAGTGCTATTTTTCACAAAGGTAATCCAGACTAGGTTGGTTACTTCAAATAGTGTTCATACTACAAGCATCATATGGAACAAAACTGCACTTGCACTACTGTCTGTTTACAAATCAGTGGATTTATAATCCACAAGAAGTTGTGTTTTCATACACAGACCCCAAAGTTATAACACTTCCTGTGAAAAATAATTTGGCCTCTAGGAGATTAACAAGCAATGTCCTAATTCAGGCTGCTTCCTCCTTCTTTATATCCTCACATACTTATATATATGTATGTAGCTCACTTCCAAAATTCTGTGTGTTCATCCAAAATATAAAATCATTGAATTTATTGAGGGGCTTAAATGACCTGCTTTATTTAATTCTGCTGTTTAAAATATTTGTATCAGAAAGGCAATTAATTCTTTTGGAAAAGCTCAAACAGAACTTTTAAAAAAATTAATATGCTTAGAAATTCTTGCATATAATCCAGAGAGACAGTAATTACTGCCAACTGCTAAAGGTTTCTTGTGACTTATAAACCATTAAAACTCTAAGCCAATATGTATAAGACTAAGTAAAGTGACTTAAGTGTGGTCAGTGCATCAGCTGTAATTCATCCAAAAAAAAGTCTCGTCCTTC